TTACCATTAAATATCCAAAGAAATTTTATTAAAAGACAAAGTTGTTATAATCTCAAGGGGATAGAGATATTTGTCAAACCAAAATTCAGAACTAGTCTGAAGGGAAGGTCTACCTCAATCCAAGGAGTTGGATTGTGGAATGGTCTAGAGAGTGATGTGAAAAATGCCAAGTCAATGTGCACATTTAAGAAAAAGATCAAAGCTGAATTGTTAAAAAAGTATATATGAAGTAGATTAGTGTGTGTTTTGTATTAGAATTAGAAAAATTAGAAAGAGTTATTCATTTTGTTCTGTTACTTGAAGATTATTATGATTGAAATAATTGTTTGAAAAAAGGGGCAGATATAATAAGATTTTTTCTTCTTTCTGCTGCCTTTCATTTTAAATCTTTTGTATCCTTTTTTTTATATTGTTATGGAATTGTTTTGTACTTTTTTAAAATGAATAAACTATATACCATACCATACCACATGTGAAGCGCATGACAATAAAGAAACTCTGACTCTGATAATCAAGCAAATTTAAGAAGGATGCTGATACCATTATTTTTTTTTACTTTGAGTGAGTAAAATGATCCATTGCAATAACCCAAATTTCACCCACAGACATTGGGCCAAACTGGCAATGGGTGTCTTTAAAGAGAGCTCGTCTTTGACAGAACACAGAAAGTCTTCATTGACAAATCAACTTACCCCCTCCATTTTTGTAGCAGAGGTAAGGAAACCTCCACACGTTGCCGAGGCCAACAACATTTCCTGCCACAGCCAGGAGAAACTCCACCTTACTCCCCCAGTGTCCTCTCTCCTCCACCTCTGGATGCATCAGTTTTGGAGCACCTTCCTTACCCATTTAACCCAAACCTTCAGGCTGAACCCAGTTCTCTCTGTGACCTCAATGCTTTGTCTCTAGTTTTATTTAAACCCACCATAGATTTAGTGTCATTTAATGAGCAACCATCTGTGCAGTTAATCAGTTGTCAGTAGAAACATTTACTCCAGGATGAGAACACATGTTAAAGAAAAACTATGTTAGAAAGTTCCTGTATGTCCACAGCTGTAAGAAATATTCCACTTACATGATCTGTTTTAGGTCAAACAGTTGAGATACTTCACAATTTGGTGGCAAATATACAAAGCTCCTCAGTGGTCACGAGTAGAAATAAAATTTGTGGCAGTATGAAGTATTATAACTGTGTATAGATTCATAATAATTTCCCTCAGTTACAAAAAAAAAACAAAAAAAAACGTGAGCATAGGCGCAAGATAGCGGCAGATCAGTGAACTGCGTTTTGCCAAGCTCCCATCAGTCCTGCACAATTTTTATTTTTTTTATAATTATATCCTCGCTGCCTCCATGCTGGATTCTGCCTCTGAGACTGGTGTTGCTGCATGATTGACTTGACGGAGCTGTAATATGGCCTCTAAGCTAAAGAAATCTAAAGCAGCAATGCCTTCACATGAGTTATGGTCCTGATTAGTCCAGGAGTAAATGGCAGGATGCATAACATATGAGACCCAGACAATTGTACAATTTAGACCAAATTTTAATTGACAATTGCCTGAACACAAATGTAAAATGGAAGCCCCAGCTAAAACAAACATATAGGAGGGAGAAGCCCCGAACCAGCCAGCAGTTAACCGTCGGATTCAGGCTTCTCCCTTCGCCCTATGATCCACGGTTTAACCCTACAAACAAAAAAACGTAAACTTAAACCATGCCGGTAACTCCCAGTCTCAACAACACACAATTCAACCATAAAATAGCAACAGGCGCAACAACAACAGGCGTCTCTGGCAAGAGCAGGAGTAAGGCTAGAGAGCAAAACCATCAACCATCAGAACAACTTCTCCTCAAGCCTCCCTCACTCATCCAACAGACGGCCAATCAACTGTTCAGAAAGAGCAAATGGATTCATTAGACACACAGACAGATGAAAGAGGGACATGTTAAAACCCGCGCGGTCTGTTGTCACAACTACAGCCTCGGGCCGCCATGATGGAGCGGCAGGCGGAACCACAGGTGCGTCAACCTCACCCTTGCTGGGCTCTGGAGAGACAGTCGAGTCAGCTCAAAAACAGACATTCTGGCATCAATTAAATCTGAAGTCACAGCAATAATTAAGATGGAGACGGATATTTTAATTTTATTAGGAGCGAACTGCAGGTGGTCCGAGCAGAACTTGCTGTTGTCACCACGGGCCTCAGAGCAGAGTTGGGCCAAGTCAAACTAAGTGTTTCAGAGACTGAAAACGGGCTGTCTTTATGCTCAGATGAGGTAGAGGCTTTGTGTAGGTAGTGTTGGCATAGTTACATTGAAAAGTAACTTTAATAGGATTACTGATTACTCCTTGAAAAAGTAACTTAGTTAATTTACTGATTACTTGATTTGGAAAGTAACTAAGTTAGATTTCAGGTTACTTTATTAGTTACTTTCAGCAGCTGCTGACAACAACCCTCCGCCACCTCAACATAAAAATTACATTGAGCTTTGCTAATACTTACTTTATTGAAAGTGTATTTTAATGGTAACATCAACAATATATCTCCTGACATATAAAGTTGAACTTAGAAACTATTTCAGGAAGAAAAAAAAAAACATAAAAAAAACGGTCTTTCTTGAATTCATTAAACAAAAATACTTGTTTTTATATAAAAAAAAATAGTCTGACTTCATTAAAAATGAATACTTTTTTATAAATAATAAAATAGTATTTCTTGACTTCAGTAAAATAAACAAATACTTGCTTTATATAAAAATAGTGTATTTCTTGATTTCACTAAACAAGTACTTTTTCACAAAAAAAAAGAAGTCTTTCTTCCCTTTGTTAAACATAAATACTTTTTAAAATAATAAAGAAAGTCTATTTTGGCCAGACATGTTTAAATATCAACACTGTAATGACAAAACTAAACATGGAACCTGTTCACAGCATTGGAGCAGCAAGGAGTGGATTTAACCAAACAGTTTACAGTGGTGTATAATACCACATATAGGCTGACATGCTTACTTTTGTTACTTTGGCTTAATCTTATGTTGCAATCCCATTTCATGAGTGAAACAGTGGAGTGGGATGAGTAAACCAGTGATTGTACCTCATTAACAGAAGCTTTTCAAACCTCCTGTCAGAAAGTCAAATTTCTTCTAGGTGTGAGCACCAAACCTCCCAGACCAAAAAAACGCTCCACAGGAGCACTTGATGGGGTTGGAGTGTTATACTTCAAGAAAATTTTCTTTATGTTTGAAAATCGATGCAGAATTTGAAGGTCAATCTCAGGTAGTCTATGACTTCCTGTTCAATCTCCTCTAGCTGCGCCTCAGAAGTGAAAAAGTCCATCTCACATTGGCTAGCAGTTGTGGTGGGGCTCTGCTATCAGAAGCTCTTTTACTCGCTCCTTCCTACCTGCATCTCTTAGCCATTGGAGTTTGAATTTAGACAAATGACAGCTGCAAGAAGGGCAACCTTGTCATCCAGCACACTGGCAAAACGAGTCTGGATTGCCTGAAAAATATAACTGATATGTTTTGATATGTCTAAGACCTACTATTTATTATGTAATTGAATTACTTGCAAACCATGCCTAATGACCAGACCCAGGCCTCTCTTGCAAAAGAGATCTGTGATCCATCTCTGCATGATCCTTCTCCAGATATGCAAAAAAACCTCCTCTTTGAGGCAGCTCGGTATTTACAGTGGTGGGGATTCGGTTTATTATGGCACAAAACGAAGGTGAGTCAACCATGTTGAAGGGCAGCATTTCTTCTACTGCAAACCATTCGGCCAACTTTTTTAAGTCTCCCCCACTTACTGGTTTTCACTGAAGTCAAGCTTTTGTTTGGTAGTGGGGGACCTCCTGTCACAGCTCTCTGCTTCGAACCACCTGACGGGGCTTGTTCTATCAGTTTGACTGTCCATGCTGCAACTCCAAATGTTTCTTCAGATTTTATGTGGTGTTTTTGAAGCTAGACCGCATCTGTCTTTTTCTCATTGAAGTTTAAAAAGTTTAGATCCATCATGCTTTTATGTCATCAAGACACCTGAACAATGGATTGACAGAGTGCAGATCTGTGTTTTTGAGAGGGACATAAATCTGACTGTCATCTGCATAACAGTGGAAGGAAATACCATGCTTCCTATGTATGGAACCAAATGGAAGCAAGTAAAGAGAGAAGAGTAGAGGACTCAGCACTGAGCCCTGGGGGACCCCACATGAGAGGCAAGCAGTGCAGGACACAGAGTCACCAAGACTGACACAAAATGCCCGGGCAAGAAGATGGTGGGGGTTAAGGGCCTTGCTCAAGGGCCCAGAGTGGGGCAAATGAAGGTGGAGGCAGGCGTGGGTGTTTCACCTTTCCCACCCATTTTGATGTTGTCGGTGTGTGTGTGTGTGTGTGGGGGGGGGGGGGAGTCAAAACGACAAGCTTCAGATCACAGGTTTGCCTTGTCTAACCTCTGCTCCATCATGGTCTGGTCATTTTATGAACATTATTTATTTTTACTGTCATTATCATTAACATTGATATTAGTTTGTTCTGTCAAGCTCCCATAGATACAGAATATTTAAATTAGATAAGACTTTAAAATTATTGCACTGCAGAAAAAATAAAAATAACACTGCATTCAAGGGATCCCACAGAAAGAACTGGAGACGGTTTAGAGAAGAGAAAGGTCTGGGCTTCTGTCCTGGACCTGTTAGCTCTGTGACCTGACTATGATCAGTGGGTGATCAATCAGACCAGGTACAAATAAAGTGTCCCAAATCATTTTAATTGGCAGTTCAATATTTTGTACTTGAGCAAAGATTAATCTGGTAATTTTAAAAGTTGAGCAACTTGCATTGATGTGAAACGTCTGTTCCTGAGTGGGTTAGTTTTTACCTCTTATGTTTCACAAGTCTTTTCTATAATGATATTATAAAACTGTCAGCGTATATGAAAGTATTAATAGTTGGAATAAATAAAGATCCAATTGTCATGTCAGCTGTAAAAATAACTTTTTATTCTAAGAATCTTAGTTGCAATCATAAACAACAACAATTTGCTTTTAGGTGCTGTTTTTAATTTTCACATTTTCTGAATGAAACCATAACAAAACCTATTGCATAAATTCATTGACCAACAAATAAATCTGATCAGCAAAATATTTCTCATTACTGTAGACAGAACTGTAGCAGTGCAGACCACAGAAGGACCAACGATAAGAAACTGATGTATGTAAGTTTTATCTGTCCACTCCCACTAATTTCTGTGCCTCTGTCTTTTTGCTGTCTTAGGCGAACAGACGTCAGATGGCAGCGTTTCATGTTTCCGGCTTTGTCCCACACGAGCACCTCTGCCTGAGCAGAGCAGCAGCTGGATGTGTACGTCACCCAGAGTGGCTGAGTCGAACTCAGTACCCACTCAGACACATTCAAAGGGGGGTCTCCGGTCTCTAGTCTTGCTCTATATTGGTGCTGATGGTGCTGGTGGTGATCTCTGCTTGTTTTGTTCTTGTGTTTGTGTTGCTGCTCGAGGTCCAGTTGGACTTCCTCTAGGCTGTCCTCTGTAGGTAAGCTGTGAAATACACTCAGAAAACCATCACCATTCAGTATCTGAAGGGCAGCGAGGCCAGAGCGACCATTGTCTGACACAACCAGAGACACGCTCCAGCTAGAGTCGGTGCAAAGTGCAGTGCAGTCAGACTGGACCCGTGCAGCGGAGCAGGACGGTGGAGATGTGTCCACATTCTGCAGAGGACAGGGGAAATCTGTGAAACAAGACTTTACATAATATAAACCTCTATGTTTGTTGTTTCTCACCAGTGGGACCACAGTCAAGTATGCCACTGCATAGTTAGATTCAGGAGTGTTGTGAGCATGCACGGTGAGTGAGAGTGTGACAGTCGCTCCTGCTGCAGCTGAGGCGGGAGTGAGGAGGTACACCTGACCACGGAAAGACCCCCGTTCTTCAACATGGAACCTGAGGGACAATAACCGGGATTTTACTCACATGTTAAAGAAAGTGTGCAGTACTTGTGCCCATACTTGTCCTGAAACCAGATGTTTACATACACTGTAGAAAAAGATAACCTTTTTTTTTCTTACTTCCTCACATAAAGTCTGAATAAACCTTTCCTGTTTTGGGTCAGTCATGATTCACAAAATTATAGAATAATAATAATAACAGAATATGTCCCAATCATTCTACGTCTGAATCAGATCCGTTGTTCTTCTGTACATTTTTTAACAAATAACTTATTTCACAATTTTTGTTCTATTTCAACAATCTCAAAACATTCAGCTTATTCAGGACATTCCTGCTGTGACTATTGGTGTTTGTGCAGTTTTTTTTTTAAAGTTTTTTTTAACAAATAGCTTTGTCAGCCATGTTTTATTAATTGAAAATGAATGGAGCTCTATAAGAAAGTAAAGTCAGGTCCTCTAGACGGATTCTTCTTATTAAAGAACAAGAAGTTCAAGAAGAATCCATCCAGAGGACCTGACTTTACTTTTTTAGATTTTTCTACCTGGATTATTGAGCGTGCATCAGGATGAACAGAGCTCTCTTCACATCCGTCAAAGCCTTTGTGCTGTGTAAAACATTTACAACTCATTTAAGCTTTTGTTCTAGTTTCACTTTTTCCAGCTTCTTTTAGCTTTTATCATCGTCCTTTAGCTCCTATCTGCTCATTTAAGCTTTTTTCAGCTATTTTTCTATTCTTGACATCTTCTTTCTGCTAATTTCAGATTTTTAATGTTGTTTCAGCTTCATTTTGTTGAATTCAGCTTTTTTCTGTTTGCTCAACTATTTTTAGTAGAGCCTGACCAATATGGAAATTTTGGGTATCATCAACGTAGAAATTGGGAGGGCCGGGCTAATGCCAATAACCGATATAATGGCTGAAAAGTTTTTAGCTTTGTCCACCCTCATGAATTTTATGAAAACAGCTACTTTTAAACATGATTTAACACTTGTTACAAAGATAAGAATGTGTTAGTTTACTTTTTGAAATATTTTTATTGTCAAAAGTACAGTTCTTATATACAAACTTCATAAGAACATTAATAATGTAACTTTGTTTTTACTGGCGAACTATGAGTCCTTAAAAGGGCAATTATACTTTTATAATATTTTCATGGTCGATCATATTTACCTCTAAAACACAATTATGAGTTACAACCTTTATGAACATTACAAAGTAAATAAAATCTCTTAATAAGGTCTCTCTTGTAAATGAGTCCCTGAGGCTCAATGGGATTAACCTGTCTAAATAAAGGTTGAATGAATGAAAAAAAAATAAATACAGGTAGCAAGTTATCAAATAATGCTTTATATGTGCCAGAAAAGGGCAGCACGGTGGCGCAACTGGTAGAGCTGCTGCCTCTCAGTGAGCAGGTCCCTGGTTCAAACCCCGGTCCAGGGGCCTTTCTGGGTGGAGTTTGCATGTTCTCTCCGTGCATGCGTGGGTTTTCTCCGGGTACTCCGGTTTCCTCCCACAGACCAAAAACATGCATGTTAGGCTGATTGGTAACTCTAAATTGTCCCTAGGTGTGAGTGAGAGAGTGAATGGTTGTTTGTCTCGTTTGTCTCTATGTGTCCCTGTGATGGACTTGCGACCCGTCCAGGGTGTACCCCGCCCCTCACACAGTGATTGCTGGACATGGGCACCAGCGACCCCCGTGACCCAAAATGGAATAAGCGGGTAAAGAAAATGGATGGATGGATGGATGGATGGATGTGCCAGAAAAACAGGTGAAAGTGACAGCCCAGTGCAGTCTGTTGTATTTTATTTAACAGAAATATACTGTAGGTACAATTCTATGGTGGAAAGCTACACAGCTCCATTAATGGTCCCAGTTCAACAACGGTAAGTTGTGGTGCAGGAAGCACAGCTTGTCAGTTTTTTCACCTGTGAGGGATCTGCACTGTTCCTCATATGTTGCCTATAGTGCTGAAAACCCTCTGACAGTCCCTTGAAACAGAAACTACAACTATAGCACTATAACACTGATCAGTTTTACATCTATGTTATATTTATTGTTCTAGATTTATTGTTTTGGCAAAAGTTTTACAAGGAAATACTGTATGCTATTCTAGGTGATCTAAATAATAGCTTGTTAACTTGAGAGGCACATGGCTAAATACAAGCAGTTTTGAGAATTTAAGAGAATTTATTATTGTGGACTTTTTTATTTAACCGATCAGTTACAATAAATTTACCATGCTCTTTTCAACAAATAACGCTACACAGTATTTAGTTGCTCCTGCTTCAGCTATGCTGTGAGTCAAGTGTGCAGCATGGCCATGCTTTGAAATGTAGTCCCTGCACGCGCCCTCTGCTGGATACATTGTACAATTACACCATTTGCAAGTACAGTAAGGACATGACTTGTTCCCATTGTTTATATCAGTCCATAATGGACCAATTATCATCAATTCTATATGTCCCCAAATGAATATCAGCCTAAAATATCGGCACTACTGATATATTGGACGATCTCTACTTTTTAGGTATTTTTTCCAGTTAATTTTCACGTTTTTTGTCTGGTATTTTTGCTCATTTTTATGCAATATTCACGCCCCCTTCAGCCTCTTTCTGCTTTCATTATTTTAAAGTCACACAGTGCTGGCTGGGATTAAGACTAGAGGTTTTGTTGTCCACTCAGAGGCTGATTTGTTTACTTCACCTGTGTGGTCCTCTCATGAGAAGATATCCACAATCGTCATCAGCCGTCAGATTAAAAAGCCCAGCAGGACCATGATTAAGGATGTCAAAGTCCACTGTCGTGCTGTGACCTGGTACGAGATGGGGGGTCAACAGCATCTAAGGGGGTTAGAAACAAAAACCACAGAAATTATCTATGGCAAATAGAACATTTATTTTTAATGCATGTGAATAAACAATATGTTGATTCTATCCACTTCTTTGTGGAAGAATTAAAAAAATAGCCTTATGTGTCAGTTTATTAGTGTTAGATCTCGTGTGATCTGTTATATGTGTTGTGAATGGCTCTTATCTACAGCAACACCAAATCTTTGCTCAGTGTCTGTAAAATTTCCTGAGGTATAGTCTTTTTTGTGCAGACTATAGTCAAGTTCAAGTTCAAGTAGGTTTATTGTCATTTCATCACATGTGGTACATGAGATGGAACGGAATTATGTACATGAGGTCCCAGTTAAATCCAACAATAGCAAAAATATAAAGTGTAAAAAAGAAACGGTAAATAAGGATCTAAGATATACACAAAGATATATGCTAAACAAATGCCAAACGGTACGCTGAAAGATCTAAGATATACGCTAAACACTAATAATGCAAAAATAATACAACGTAACAACAGCAGTCCGAACATGAGCCTGTATGAGCAGATGGGCAGCTGTGGGGAACTAGCTGTGGTGACCATCTTGACTCCAAAAGTTAATCAGTTGTAGAGGTACAGCCAACAGTTAGTTCCAGAAAGTTTCAACCACTGCTTTATGAGACATTTTGAGAACAGTCAGAGTTAACTTAAATAGCTGAAGCCGATGTTTCAAGCAAAGATGTCACATGATATTGAAATATGGGTTTGGGAATGCTGGTCAACTCTCTAGCTCTACATCTGTAAAAGTGACTGAAATACAGCCATTTTTGTGCTTTCTAAGATTTCTGTCTGTTGTTTTGATCAGGCGTTGTGCGGATATCTTTTCAAAGCTTCTAAAGGCTCCAGTATAGTCAGGCATAGGTCAGTCCGTGGAGGTACCAGAAAAGAGTTGAAGCGGACACCCGCAGGGCATGTCCGTGCAAAGCTCCATTTTTACGACCGCGTACTCAGTGTCGCACAATAAACTGCCCGATGATGGACTGTTTTGTATGCGACACGCTGGAGGGACTATGTTTCTCGGCTGGCCTGGGAACGCCTCGGGATTCTCCTAGAAGAGCTGGCCCAAGTGGCTGGGGAGAAGGAAGTCTGGGCCTCCCTACTTAGGCTGCTACCCCCGCGACCCGACCCCGGATAAGCGGAAGAAAATGGATGGATGGATGGAAGTTGTAGGTGATAAAATACGTATAAAGCTGACCCTGGTCTTGTTTAGTGTCAGTACTAATAATTTTGCTTTCTAATTTTTGTATTTCTTAAAACAATAGTTTCCTCTACTGATTGAGTCAAAAATAAGCAACGTGTCAACTTCCACTTTGGTGTGCAGCTGCATCTAGGCCTAAGAAAGGTCACTACTGAAAATTGGATTGCTATGTCAAAATTGAAAATTGCTACCACCATTCTATAAGTGTGTGGGAGGCCACCCCAATCACTTCAGAAAACTATGCTTTCTAGTTTTGTATATTGCTTAAAAGTATTGCTTTTGCTCCTTCCACTCACCAGGATCCGTCACTCTGCGCTACAGTTGCATTTGGGCCCAAAAAATCCGACCCGATTGGGCCCCAGCCCGTAGCCATTATTTCCAAACCCCACCCAACCTGACGAATTAACAGTAATTACAGGTCCGAACCCAAAAAATCTCTCGACATTTTTAGTTAACCTTTGATTGCTTATTTTGTTATTAACAGTTGGTGAATGTGTGCGGCTAAGGGGGTAGAAGATCTGAGCTGAGGGGGTGTTTGTCCTTTCATAGCCATCAAAGCACATTAAATCCCTGCTTCTGCCTGCATTCTGCATTATTCAGACATGGACCCTGCTCTGACATGTTGGATATTTTGGGATCTCACCTGTTTGGGTCGTCGGCCGCGCACGTCCGCTGACTGCAGCGGCTGAATGAACGTCCATTTGGACTTTTGATGGATCACTGCCTGGCAGTAGTCCATCTGAAGCTTAACTGAACTTTTTTTTTACCTCCTTCAAAGCCGGTCAGCACGCGGTCAAATGGCCGCGTGTGGCTGGTGAAAGTATGGCAAGCCAGTTGCCATATAATTAGATTGTTAGCTGCGCGCGTCTGCTGACACAGTCAAAAGTCTGACACTGGCCTGGCCTGTACATTAAGCACATTATTATGGGCCGACCCAGACCTAATCTGGGTCAGGCTTGCCTCCAGGTTCGAGTTAGAAATGACAGCTCTACTCTGCCCTGCCTCAAACAAGAAAAACAAAACTTCCTCTGTTCTTCTCCACAGTGTAACTCATACCCACTTGAATATCTTGCACCAGAAACATCAAGGTGTGCTTGCATTATCTGTTCAATTACAATCCAGAAATACACTCCTCTCTAAAACTACATTCACTATTCAAATAACTCAGCAATCGGGGACATTGGCGAACTGCTGTTTTACCTGTATCTGAACACGAGTGGGCTGAATCATCTCGGTGGAAACCCTCTCCAGCTCGTTTCCTCGGCTGTCCTGGCCCGTTAATCGAACACAGAAGGCCATTGAGGGAAGAGAGTCCACCAAGCCCACAAATTCCTCCAAACTGTGGACTAGTGAAGAGAAAGAGTGGTTCAGCTTCACCTGCTGAAGGCTCTCCCCTTCTGCCCCCAGCAGTGTCACATGAAAAGACACGTCCTCAGCTGAAGACACGCCTGTAACCGTCAGCACCAGAAACACCGGAGCCCCTGAACAGGATAGTTTATTTTCATGATACAGACTGACTCAAATGTCACTGATAGATCATCATATAAATAAAATCCTACCTCACCTGCCACAGGACTACCTTCCACTCGAGCCAGACCTGGATGTGTCTCATTCGTTACAGTGGCAAAATAGTACAGGAAGTCTACACTGCTGTCTCCTGATGGTGAAGATTAGAGGACCTTAGATTAATGTTAAGATTAGCTTAGAGTCATTTTCACAGTAAATGGTTATGTTGAAACTATACGTGTGTTTTCATTTACCCATCACACTGAATGTGATGTGTCCATCACTCCTGGCCTGCAGATTCCACTGACCGGGCTGGACAGGAGGCAGCAGGCTGATCCGATACAGACCCTGGAAGTGCTCCAGCTCTGCTAGGGAGCCGTGCTCGCTCAGCAGAGACTGACTTCGGCCTGACAATTTGAAACAAAAAGTGAAAAGAAAAAAAAAAAAAATGTCATTAACAAGTGGTATGCTGATGTCCCCATCACTGAGAGATTTGAACAGTGAACGTTTGTAGTTAAGAAGATGCGTTTCTTTCTGGACTGGAATTGAACAGGAAATGCAAGTAAACAATGTTTTTGGTGTAAGATGTTCAAGTGGGTAGGAGTTACATTGTGTATTAGAGCAGCGAATGGAAAGATCAGTTTCATCCACCACCAGGTGTAATGGTAGAGCCAAGGAGTGGGTTGCAATTGTCATGACTAGTATAAATTAATCTTCAGCCACCCCAAGAACCAGCTCTATGCTATATAAAAACTAGACAGTATAGTTTCCTCAAATTTTTTGGGGGATTGATGGTTACATTTATATATGGTGGTGACCATCTTGAATTTTGACTTGCCATTCCCATTTTTCACAAGTACATGTCTTATGTCTAGATACTATGATGGAGCTTTAGGGCCACTCTAAAAAAAAAAAAATTAAAAGCCATAAAATTTTGAGAATAAAGACCTAGTATTACAAGAATAAAGTCAATATTATGAGAATAAAGTTGTACAAATCTTTCTTTTTTAAAGCTCTTGTTTATTTTAATTTTTTTTCCACGAGTCGGATCCACATGTCAATCAATCCAGTAGGCATGTCAGCAAATAAGCAATCCGAAGATAAATGAGTTATAATTTAATCCTAACTCCGACACATAAAGCGAGGTTTACCACATTTTAACTGTGGCAAAATGAAGAATGTTGAGCATCTTTAAGTTATACTTTGGTATTGGTTTTACAAATTAGGAGATAGTTAATCTGTTAGCACATCAGCATCAGATTATTATCAGTATCCGGACTTTGAACTTGCTTACACTAAGGTGGTCGTAAGATACAGCCACACACCAAAGTGAACGTTGGTTCTTCACTTATTTTTCAAGTTATCCAGCTCACAAGTTTACATATAGCCTATACATGTATAGCAGCAGTCACCTTGGATTTTAATGTGGCAGACCAGTTTTTGACGGTGACCTTTCTTACACCTAAATATAGCCACACACCAAGAAAAGGAAGTCCGTACTTCACATATTTTTCAAAGTATCCTGCTCACAATGCAGATGAACAAAAGGGCTTATTTTTTAAATAAAATCTAGGAGGATCATTTTTACTTAAAGACTGAGTGATGCTTTGTAAAACTGTATTTAAATACTTTCAAATTCAAGCAAGTACAACTAAAAGATGTCTAAAGGATTTGTGAAGGGTGCTAAAGAAGCTCTTATTTCTAACGCCACACATCAAGATGATTTCCCTTTAAATACCAAGATTTTTCTTGTAATAATCTAGGCTGACAAAATATTTGGGTGTATAAACTGTAGAATATAATGATAATATAATGAAGCTGCTGCCAGTGGCTTCTAGTGGTCACCATGGTAACCATACACCTGTGTCTATCACTCCCTGACAGCACTCCTAAAGAAGAGCTTGCTTGCAAAACTATGAGATGTTTCAGACAGCTGAAAAGTGAGTGTGCACCATCCCCACACTCTAAAATCAACACTGTGTGGTAAAATCTCTAAATACCATAGAGAAATCAAATTACCAGTTCAGTCTTGTAAAGCCCAACTTTCCATGATCTGCTCACACTTTGAATGAAGTTCCTACAATCAAACACTGCCTGAGCTGTAGAGGCTGTACTAGATTCTGAATCATGAGCACGTTACCTGAAGGACAGGTGAGGACACAGTCGGTCATGAAGCCGGTGATGTGTAGAATGACGTTTTTTACTGAGCTGTCAACTCTGAAGGAACGTTTGGACAATAACTCCTGATCACTCTCCATATGAAAAAGAATCACCTGAGGAGAAAGGAGGGTGGTACGTATCTTTAGAGTAGCTGAAGCTGTAAATGGACACAAACTGATTACATAGAAATGTTAAAATTATTTAGACCTGCAGGTGAACAAAGATGGAAGCAACAGCATCCATCATTTAATTATCATTCTAGCTCTGGAAACAAAAACAAAAAAGATTGAATGTACTCAGCTGTCCTGAGTTTGTCAAGCGGAAATATCCTCTGTCCGTCCATCCATGCATGTTGTAATGATAACTTGAAAAATAAATGTGTGGCTGCATCTAGGTAGAAGAAAAGTTCCTTTTGAAAACTGGGTTGCCACATCAAAATTCAAGACGACTTGTCTGGAGCAGTGCAGGGTGATGGATCCTAGAGGGGGAGGGAGCAATTTTATCCACCGCCAGGCGCAATGAAGGAGCCAGGGGGTGGCCAATGGTGGCCTTGACCCCCATAGATTAATCTTTGACCACCCCGATCTTTGGAAGAAACTTAACTTTTAAGCAATATAAAATCTAGAAATGACAGTTTTCTCAAACAATAGGGGTGATCAGTTTACATATACAGTGCCTCGTTTAAACAGTAAAACTAAAAACATAAACAGTAGTCCCTCGTTTATTGTGGGGGATCTGTACCCTGAAGCCCTGGGATAAGTGAAAAACCGTGAAGTAGGAATATTAGTACAAGTAGTACTTTATTTTAGTATTTATACACACACACACACACACACACACACATATATATATATATATGCAATATTGCAATATTCTAAACAATGTTTCTAAACTGTAAATGTTCTAAAAGAGCACATGATTTCAGCTCCCTGCCTGTCTGCTCTTTGCCAACTGCAAGCGCTCTTGGCCACGCCCACTTCTCCACTCTGCACGGAGAACAGCTGATCAGCTGCAGCAGGAAGTTTATCCTGCAATATGGGCTGCACACAGGTGCATCAGGTGCTAATTAATTTAAAAATAATTTAAAATAAAAATTCCACACCGATTGTGTGGCTCATCCATCGAAAAACCGCGATAGAGCGAGTCTGCGATAAACGAACCGCGAAGTAGCGAGGAACTACGGTAGATTTATTGTCAGCTATCTTGGACTTTGACAAGGCAACCCAATTTACAAAAGGAGCCTTTATTAGGCCTGGATGTTATTCTGCTCACAACATGCACAGATGGATGGACAGTAGTGCAAACTTTCTAATTCCCCCTCTTTGCTCCCTGAAGTGGGACAAAAACAAAATTCAATGAGTTCAGTGTGAAAGAACTGGACTGACTCAGAGCCCTGACCTTATCTATCTCAAGCACCTTTTGCATGAACTGGAATAAAGATTGCAATCCAAACCTTTTCCTTTGATGTCCCTCCCAAATTCCAAAAGCAACATTAAAATATCAAATCGAATTTCCCCCCAAAAAAGAGTATCTGATTTAAGTATTTGTATTTGAATACAATAGTATACAGTACCGATTGGTGTGATGGTCAGGTGTGCCCAAATATTTTTGTCCACAAAATGCATAACAGTAAATACAATGTTTTAAAGTTTTGTCCAGAAAAACTGAATAAAATGTTGTGTGTTCAATACGAGCATTATTTTTGTACCTTGTCAACGGCTGTATTGTCTTCCACTATGGCTGAGACCTTGTAAATGTCAGAGTCGGTGGTGAATATCATCAGTCCTCCTGACAGGGACGACAAAGAGGAGTAAAGAGAGAAACGATCAGGGGGCAGAGGCTCCATACTCCTCCTCTTTCTCCTCATCCTCCACTTCCCTGTGGAGTAGCTTGGGTCTTCAGTCAGGAGAAACGTTATCTGTAGGACGACAAAATGTGAAAAAACAATTGAGCTGACATAAATTCCATTTGTCTGACTGAAGCTGTGACAAAATTGGCAAAACCTGCTGAAAACAAAAATGCTCTCATAATCCATTTAAAAACAAACATTTTTATTTAAGGAAAACATTTCTTTAGAGTTAAACATACCTTGATTTGTTTCTCCAGTGCGAGGGCCTTCACCGCATCAAACAAGTACGCATCTTTGGCAGAAGCATCAGTGAAGACAAATATTTCTGACAGGGGTGGACTGTGAGCAAGAGCCAACTAAAACACAGAATTAGTCAGAAACAACATTGCACAGTTACACAAGTTAGTTAAAAATCAGTCAACAAAACCAAGTCTCTGGAGTTCTCAACAATGATAACTTATGTATATAGGAAGTTGCATTCATTCTCATCGCCCTGGCTATTTATTCTATTTTGTTGCCTTACATTTTGAGATTTCTATTTGTTTTTTTTTTTAGTTATTAAACATATTGAATCTACATAAAATACACTACAATAATAAACCTGAATATGAAGAAGAGCTGCAGCCCCGATCTTTGGCCTCTTGGTTGTAATAGTCTGATAAACCTCTGGAAGGTCTCACGGGGTTATGTGGAATCAGCCAGATAGTATATTTCGCCGTGTTTTATTTATTTGTTTATTTATTTATTTATTTATGGTGCTGTCAGTAAACATGTCTGTTCCTGACAAAGCCTAAAATCTTTTTTTTTTCTTGTCAGAATTCCTTTAAATGCTCCCATAACCTCAGAGTAACAATACTGCCCTCTAGTGCTACTGAGGTGAAAGATCCACCACAGGTAGATCCCATTATAAATGCATTTTTGATCACATAAATATCTCATAATATAATAATGTTACTGTACATTCTTTTTTTTGTTTGTTTTGTTATCTCTATATTTAAAAAAATAAAGGTTAAAAAACACATAAACAAAACAAACTACTGGACTTTTATTCTGAAGCTGAAGACGTTTTGCTTCCCATCTGGGAGGCTTTATATCTCTCTTTAAGTTTTTATATTAGCTCACTCACTGATGATTTGCTTTTACATTTGAGAACCTCTGTTATATATTTACTGGGATAACTAATAAGATGTCTTTCCTGGCTGGACGTTGCTGTTCAAATCTCATCCAACAACACTGTTTGAAGTTTGGGTGTAAAGAGCAAAAACACACATGCATATCACACACACAAATAAAATCAGCTCCACATGCAGGTGCGGATGCTTGACAGCTCAGAACAGCTGACTCCTGCTGGCTTGGACCGGGTAGCTCCATAATATATCAGGTTCAGTAAAAGCAAGAATCAAAACTGAAACTGGTGTTGTGCATGAACAGAGTATTATTGAGTATTGGGGAGTGGTGGCGCAGAGGTTAGAGAGGTGGGCTTGTGATCCGAAGATCGCCGGTTCACGCCCCGGCCCCGACAACATCAAAATTGTGGGTGGGGTAGGTGAAACACCCACACTTGCCCCCACCCTCATTCGCCCCACTCTGGGCCCATGAGCAAGGCCCTTAACCCCCACCATGTGCTCCCTAAACAGGTCTCTCTTGAAAATGAGTTCTCGTGGCTCAATGAGACTAACCTGGATAAATAAAGGCTAAATGAAAAAAAAAAAAAAAAAAAATTAGAAAAGAGAAGAATATTTAAAAATAATGTTTTAAATCTGACTATGTTGGACTTTTGAGCCACCTTTAAGTTTGACCAAAAACAAGGTCTTATTTTTGGCTAACAGAGCTGCAGGGTGGCGGGATGGAGGGTCTCCCCAAAACTCCACTGCAAATTTAAATGAACTGTCAAAAAATCATTTAGGGCACATGCGTCAAACTCAAGGCTTGAGGTTCAAATGTGGCCCTCGTTGACATCTTATTTGGCCCCCAAGAAGATATTTTAAATGTAAAATACTTCTATCACTTAAATTTTTTTCAGTAATCTTTGATTATGATGTCAAAGGTGCAACAGAAAACGTCCAATGAGACCAATCAAACTCTTGTTGAGGAACCTGCAACCAAGAAAAGATGTTTTGTATCTAACTTGAGTTAATGTAGATTCTGAAACTGGCCCTTAGTTTGAAAAAAGGTTTTAATTTTGGCCCCCTTTTGTGAGTGAGTTTGACACTTCTGCTTTAAGGGGTACTAATGTGGGAGAATGGTTTTCTTTCAAAAAGTGTCATAAAATAAATATTTTGTCAAATTTTAACAAAACTGAAATGTGGAGGTTTTTTTTTTTTCAAGATCTTTAAAAAGTTAAACTTTAAAAAGTCATTAAAATGTGATGTTTTTGTTTCAGGCTGAGTTAGTTCTAAAAGATTGACTAGTTTATTGTGGAAGAGAATATTAAAAAATGAACAAACTCTGTTTTCAAACAGGTAAATATTTTTCCCCTAAGGCAAACTTTTTGTCAGAAAGCTAAAGGACTGTCTTCACTGCTGTTGTTTTTGGTGGATGATCGTCTCTTTACATGCTTGTCGTGGTGTAATAAACCTTTAATTGCCTTAATAATGATTTTAATGGTGCTCTGTGGGATGTTCAGAGTTTGGGATATATTTTTTAAAGTAATAATTATATTTTCTTGTATGGAATGTTTACTGGTCTTGGTCAACTGAGGTTATAGCAGGAAAAATCTTTTTGTGTACCATCACCATCACCGTGCATCATCAATTTAGCAGCTAAAGTTTGCAGTTGTACATCTCACTGAACTTTTTTTTTTTTTAACAAACCATTCTTGTAGACAGATTAAAGTATAATAAAATATTTTGGTTAGAATGTAACAACTCAAGTTTAAAATAAACATTTTTAAGAGGATGCTGTGAATAGAAAGTTTCCTACCTCGGCCTCATAGCTGCTCATCCTGACATTTAATCCTATTTATCAATAAAACTATCTGAAATTTAAAAAAATAATGTAGGCTTGAAAGAGGAGAACATTTTAATTGTAAAATAAAGTGGAATGATGACTTGATAAAACAGGTAGCACCTTTATTGATGTTGTGTTCATGCATTTACTGACTGTGTTATCTAAACTCACCAGAATTGCAGAGAGACACATTTCTGGTTCATCCCCTCCTCCCAGAGCCATCAGGTTCTCCAGGTCTTGCATGAACTGCTGTGGGTCATCAGACTCATAAACCGGTCCAAACCCTGCAGACTACAACTGATTAGATGTGCACATGTCTAAACTTCAGAGTCCAAAGAAATAATTTACCATTTAGACAAATAGACCAATTACCATAAAGCACAGTTAAAGTTTAATAAAGAAAAATAGGTGCTGTTAGAAAATGATCAAAAGGGCAGGGGATCTTCTGATGGATCTTCTCGGTACTGTGAGTTTGAGGAAAACCCCTCACCTGGATCATGGAAGGGCACAAGCAGATAGTCAGGAGACTCAGCGTTCTTGGCTCGGTTCTCGATGATGGAGTGAGCTCTGAGTCGAGCAGCGGTGATCTCCTCAAACATGCTGCCTGTGGTGTCCATGACGAACACCAACGCAGGAACCTGCTTCACCCTGAAGAGCCTTTCAAAAAACATTTGTAATAAAATATATGCAACTAAAGATGAGATATATGGCTCTTTAAAGGTGTGTCTCTGATGTCCGGTTCCCCTCAGGGCTGCGTTCTTTCACCCCTTTTATTTATTTTATATACAAACAATTGTTGCAGCCAGTTCCAACAGTGTCACTTTTTAAAGTTTGCTGATTCATTCAGCCTTTATTTATGCAGGTTAGTCTCATTGAGTCATGAGGACCCATTTTCAAGAGAGACCTGTTATGATCTGATGAGAGCTGATGACTCTGTCATACTGTCCCTTCTGAGCAGTGATGACCCAGACCAGTGGTGTGTTGTGCAGTGGTGTGGTGTGGTGAGTCTTCCTTTTTAAAGTTAAATGTTTCTAAGACAAAGGAGATGGTCATTGATTTTAGAAAAGACTGTTCAGTTGTCACTCCTGTGGTCATTAACGTTCAAGTTGTTGAAGTGGTGCAGCAATATAAATATCTGGGAACTGTTCTCGGTGACAAACTAACCTTCGACCCTCTTGTGGACTTACTTTGTAAGAAGGCCCACCAGAGAATAATTTTTTTTGGAAGTTCTGTGGTTTTAATGTTGATTCGACTTTTATGAGAACATTTTGTTCATCTTTTATTGAGTCTCATTTAATGTTTACGTTCATATGTTGGTTTAGACTTTTTTAACATGCAAAAACAGGAACAAACTCTCGGGGATTGTCAGGATGTGCAACAAAACTGCTGGCATAGTTCTACAGAACCTCACTGACCTACACAAGGTGAGGTCAGTGAACAGGACCAGACTGATTCTGCCAGATCCTGATCACTCCATGGTGAGTTCAGGTTGCTTCCATCTGGACGCAGGTATCTGTTGCCCAGATGTAGGACAAACAGACTGAAAAACTCATTCATCCCTGCAGCGATCAGGCTTCTCAACGAACAGTGATGATTTCTGTGCTGGTATTTTAATGTCTTTACATCTTGTCTAGTATGGATGTTTTGTGTGCCCACTGACTGTGAAACAAATTGCCCCTTGGGGATAATAAAGACTACTGAACTTGAACATCCTGAAAAACGTTGGTTACGTATTGTAACCCCAGATTCTATAAGTATAGGCGCAGCCCTGTAAGGCTATTGCTAGTGGGTTTATCCCTCCACGCGCAGCACTGAAAACTTTAGTCCACGCCCACCTGCTGTGTGGGCCTCACCCCCGGTCTGTATAAATTATGGTGAGACCGGGTAATCATCTCCCAAATAGCCAATGTTCTATTTCATATAGGCTTTGCCCTTTAAGGCTATCGCTAGTGTGTTAAAGGCGAAGCAGGATGTAGTCTATGCCTCACTGGGTCCATTCAGACACAACATGAAGCACCTGCTTGCACAAAAAAAAATTTAATAACTCAGCCTTCTGTATGCGTAATTACGCGCTGCGTAATTGCGTGCTCCATGCGCAGGAGCGCACCAGAGAAAGATCTCTGGTGAGGAAAAAGGCTGAGATAGCAGACCTGCCGCTGTGAATAGGAACAACACAGGTTACAAATTGTAACAGTATAACAATGAACAGAGCAGGCCAACAGCTCCTCAGGATGAACCGGTTAATAACAATAAAATCAACAGTCATGAACTTGTGACTGATAATAAATATCTCACACTGTGACTGCATGCAGGCAGGTGAGCTCAAAAGTGAAGCTCCATGAAACAAATAATCATTCTGTCAGAACCCTGAGAACAGAATGGGTCATGGAGAAAGTAGAAACATGACGTAGATAAAACGAATAATTGAACATGGCGATGATCAGGCAGCCGCCATACAAATATCCTCCACTGTCATCCCTCCATGCAGAGCCATGAAGGATGAAAACCTTCTGGTGGAGGATCCAGTCCAGATGAACTGTAAGCTTCAGAAATAGCCTCACACAACCAGTGTGAGAGGCGCTGGGTGGATAGAGGACGTCCTGAAGAGCTGTCCCTGTAATGCACAAACAGACGCTGAGAACGGCGCAGTGCGGCCGTGTGCGCCACGTAACACTAAAACGCGCACACGGGACAGAGGAGGTGAGATGTTGTTTCCTCTTCAGAATTATGAGGAGGAGGGTAAAACCCATCCAAGGTTATCACTCTCGATCTGAATGAGCTTGTGATGCTTTTCAGAGCAGGGTTAAAACGCAGTAAAGCTGAACTGCTGTCAGCTGCCGTCAGCTTGAATTCTGAGACATGAGGGAGCAACAGAGAGAGCAGATAATCACCCAATCTCTTTGCCGACATCAGAGCTAACAGTAGGGCTGTTTTTAATGACAGAAATTTAAGTGAAACCTGATCTAAATGCTCCAAAGGAGCTATGATCAGAGCGTGCAGGATCATCATTAGGTCCCACTGCGGATCTAGTGGACATGACACCGATCTGTGTCTCTGTACACCTGTCAGAAAACGCTTCATCAGCAGGTAGTTAAGAACTGTTCTGTCACTGAAAAAACTCATGGCAGGAAGAAATAGCTGCAGCATAAGTTTTAATTGTGCTGAACGCTAAACCATCAGTTGTTGTAAAAATGACAGCACAACACCTAGTGGACATGAGATGGCCTCCACGCCTTTCTCTGCTGATCAGACGGCCCGTCCATCTGTCCAGGGAACACACTCGCTGCCACTCTGAGTAGCGCTCGGAGAGCGGGCACGCATTTTGTGTCATGTTTCTCATGGACATCAACCAGACTAAAACCCTTACTGCCATCACCCGCTCCGGAGATTCTCCAGTGGGAACCCAAAGTGGGGGCTCCAACAGAAAAATGCTGTATGTGTGCCTCTGTACTGAACACAGGCTGCGGTCTCATGTTAGAGCTGAGGTGGGTTGGTGCGCACTGAGAGGAGGTGCGAGCGCTTTCTGAGTGAAACGCAATTTCGGTGGAGGCTGCAGCTGTCGTGGAGAAAAAACATTTATTCCCGCTGCGCGGTGAGATGACAGAAAACGGCAGAAAATAAAAATGGGCACTGGCTAAGAGCCAGGGATTTTACCGGACTTGGTCAGCTGAAAAAACATAATTTTTAGCTAAAGTGGCAGACGAGTGTTTGGTGATTTACAGAACTGCGGTCCCATTTAAAACGCTGTTTAGAAGTTACCGGCTCGTTCTGTGTGGGGAAAGTGTGAAGAGAGGCAGATGTGAGCTCAGTTGATCTGACAGTCATGGTGAAATCAGATGAAACTTTACTTTCAGAGATGTTTCTGTTATATTTCAAAAACATACCTCATCAAAAAACACACACATTCCCCTCAAGGAGCTGTTCCCTGGTAGAGGGGGCCAGTGGAGGAGCAGAGTGTGAAGTCGCTGTCGCAGCTGTGGAGCGCCTCTGCTGCAGTTGCTGGCCACGGCGGTCCCTCTAGCGGCCAGAGGGGCGGGAGGAGGACTGTGACATCACCAGATGGTGTACAGTCTCTGAGACCTCCTTGGACCTCTGCGATTTCTCAAGGATGGTCCTGAAGTTGGCCCCGAACAGCGCCTCCGGGGTGATGGGGCCCTCCAGCAGGTCTTTCTGCAGCCTCTCGGACAAGGATAGCGAGAGGCGGAGCCAAGTGGTCCTCTGGATTATGGTCATCCAGGCGGCGATGCGGGACAGGCAGACCACAGAGGTGGCACATGTGTAAGATGATGTCAGCGGCTTTATAGAGAGAGCTCTTTGTCCCCTCCAGCAGGTCTGCTTCCTCCAGCCTCTTAGAGATGTTGTAGGCCAGCAGGGCAACGTCATTGTTCGCTGCGGCCGTCTGGAATGAGCACTGGTGAGTTCGGTTGGAGACTTTTGTCACCATCTGGTCATGCTTACCTGGAGGGACAGGTTGCTAGTCCATCCTGGAAGCTTTTGCCCCAAGTGCCACCGCCAAGCTTGGCTCCGGGGGGGGGGGGGGGGACCGAGGGGAAAACACTGATAGGTAAAACCCTCCACTCTGGAGATGGAGGCGAAGGTGGAGATGTATGTCTTCAGCTTGCCGGGCCCAGCTGCAGCCATGTTCCAGTGTGACGTCACAGCTGGACAACAAGGCCAGATGGGGTCAGGGAAACTAGCCGGGGCGGAGCCAACCTTGTCGCCAGATCATCCAATCAGGGCGGAGGGAGGCGAGGGATGGAAACCTTGTGTTAACATCCTCCTGGATTATGCCAGACAGCTCTGAGAGGAGGGCGCCGATGGCTGGGAGCGGTGTGGTCGCCGACGTGGGAAGATCCGAGGTGGCTGAGCATCCGCTCGGCTGCTCGTCTTTCGTCACTACGCTCTCCAGGAGGGAGGGGGCAGCTCCGCATCACCTTTCTCAGAGGAATCATTTGATTCACTGCGTGAATCTGCATCAAAGAAGGCGGTGGCGTCGTCTCACGCATAGCGTCCCACCACAGAAAAAAACACTCAGCGGAGCTGCTGCCAACAACGTCTTTTTCAAGGTTATCATCCAATTCACCACGAGAAAAAAACACATTATAAAAGGCGGTGGCGTCGTCCAGCGAGTAGCGGCCCTCCAAGGAAAAACACTCCTCGGCACTTACCTTGAATAAGGCTGCTCGTCTCTGCTTCTCCTTGGGGAGGAAGAGATAATCGGGACGACGATCGGGACGGTTTGTTTTGATGCCCTGTCAGCTCTTTTGTTTTGTTAACAAATTATTTATTTATATATATATATACATAT